TCTCTCTCTCTCTCTCTCTCTCTCTCTCTCTCTTCCCCCCCCCCTCTCTCCACACACACATATACATATTTGGCTTCACAGTCTGTAATATTTTGACCACCAATATTTTATCTTTCAGGCCTATCCAGAATATTTGATTACCTACCAGATTGTAAAGCCTGAAATTGCCACAGAAGCTTGAAGCTCCAGCTATTTTACAAAGGTCAAATTTAGCAGTAATCTTAATTGCTAATATATATACACATATATCCTCCCCTCCCCTGTTCCCCATCTTGCTGGTAGAAAATGTGAATAAAATCTTAACATTTTTGACAGATGAAGCTTTAATAACTGTATAGTACATTTTCTACAAATTCAGAAACTTTTTCAGCACTTTAAGAGATCTCATTCCAGGTGATGCTGGTTTGTCTGTACTGAATTATAAAACAGATATTAACTTGAACTTTTGTTTTCTATTTGCCATTTCAGTGAAAACTAACAAAATTGTTGCTATACGGGAACTCATTTTATTAAAACTGTGTTCTTTAAAACACTACATTTACACAGAGAACGATTGCGTTTGTAAAACTGTAAATAAGATATTTTCTACTAGCCTGATATTTATTTGCATTGTATTTGTAAAATAAGTGTTTTAAAACTACAGTACATGGAAAACCTATAAACTTCACATCCCCGTCTGCATTTCATCACAAGCAGCTGTGAAAAGGGCAGCTTGAGAGTCTTGCATATTAAGCAGCAGCATTCTTTCCTTCAGTTAGTTTAAAGGAGGAATGTGTATTCCAGTAGTTTGTTCCTAAATTGTGCATATTCCTGAGGGATCTAGTCAACATTCCAGTTGTTCATCACATTGATCACTACTTAAATATATATTTTGGATGGGTGTAAGTTAGCTAATCGTTTGTCTAAAGTAGGGAAACCTGATTCACATTAAAACAGGATATTTAAGAGTGAACAAGCCTATGTTCCTGATTTCTGTTTAGATATAATGGCACTATAAAATCAAAATGGATCTTTTGCAAGTAAGACAAAGGTGGGAAAGGGGTATCCACGTCCTTAGAACACTGAAAACTTTTTCACACACCCTCTTCTAAAATGTAATCTCCTTATTCCTTTAGTTCAATCAATATTTTTTCATCTTATAGGTTCATCTGTAATATATATCTGTATATATAATTCAATTTTTTCCATTGATCCAATTTTAAATGAGCAATTAATTGAAGTTCTTCAACTTTGTAAGACCATGTTCCATGATGTACTTTTAATTATACATCATTATTACACTATGGGGTTTTTTAAAAAAAAATAATTGCCAAGAGTGCTTAAATTGTCTGGTTCATACAGTATCTTAGATTTGAGTCTTAAATAATTGCTGTGCACGTGAAGTCAGTGCATGGATGGTTATAAAATCATGTGAAAAATATAGTAAACATCACTTTGTTGTGATCACTGCTGGATAAAGGACAGTTCAGTTGAATAAAAGAGGTCTTTGCACCACCGCATGCTTTCTATTCACTAGCTTAGCCAAATACCTGAACAAGTATTCATGCAAACTATGCTAACTATGATTTAAGCATTAAAAACTATTTTTCATTATTGAAAACATTTCATTCTTTGTGAATGATTATTTAATGTGATGTAAATTATTGTGATATTGGTAGCATTTTAAATGGTACCACAGGATTGGTTAGAACGTTTTTTAATTTTGCATGGCATACCTATTTTTCAGAAGGCAGAATGTGTAATGATTTTGATTGTGTTGAGTAGAGGTGAGCTTCCAGCCTCCTGTGCAATTAGAGGTTTATTCATCTTGAAAGTGTCTTACCTGTATTGTATCTCTTTCTTCACCATTCAACCTAAATAAACTTCATTCACAAGCTTTTTGGTAGCATGTATTATGATTGTAAGTTGTTATTACAATTAATGCAACTGAGGTATTATTTAATATGTAGTTATTAATATTTGTTTCCTATTATATGGGTGTTTTTGACCCTGACCACATGTCTAAAGTCACCCTGATTTTTGGAGCGCTTCCACAAGGTTCATTCAACTCCAATATCTATTTCTCTCCTGCAGCACATAATGTACTCTCTGCCATGTCTTCATCATATTTCCTTCCGTATTTGGGCATATTTTGGAGTATTTATATATTGTACATTTTAAGTAGTGTTGATCTATGTATCGGAACAGTGCAAATGTCAAGGTAGCTTGGTGTTTTAGGATAAAGTCTTTGTTTTATTTTGTTTTGTTTTAAATCCACAGAGACCATGTTCAAAAATGAGCAGAAGAAAAAAAAACAGTTACTGCTGTAATTCAGTTAATAGCTAAAGATTAAAATAAGTTGCCTATGAATCACAAATCACTATTACAGCTATATGTTGAGGATAGAAATGAGGTAAGGTAAAATAGCTGGACAGGGAAGAAAAGAAAAAGATTAGTGGGAAATTCAGATTTTTCTGCAAAGAAAATTTAACAGTTACTCTATACCACATTCCTCTAAATCAATGGTTCCCAAACTTGGCAACTTTAAGACTTGTGGACTTCAACTCCCAGAATTCTCCAGCTAGCTCTTCTGGCTGGAGAACTCTGGGAGTTGANCCAGAATTCCCCAGCCAGCATTCGCTGGCTGGGGAATTCTGGGAGTTGAAATCCGGACATCTTCAAGTTGCCAAGGTTGAGAAACACTGCAATAGATGAATGACAAATTACCAACATCTTTTTGACTGCTTATGGTTGCCAAATCGTGACATTTATATATTCTGGTTTCCTATCATTACTAAACACGAAAGCCAAGAAAGGCAGCGTTGTGCCTTGGCCACTCCTTTAAAAGCAGAGAATTGAGGGTAGGTGAAATTTCTGAAGATATGTGACCTATAGCTTGTTGCCTATACGTGCAATGATTGACTCTCTAAAAAGGGACCATCTTCCTGCAGATATTAACAGCTTGATAGCAGGATAGGGGGCCTTTCTCTTGGCCAACAGGTCATAAACCATTTCAGAAAATTTATATGGCTGCCCAACTCACTCTTAGTGACTGATAAAAGGACAAGGATTTAGGGCAGGAGTTTTATCTTTTGCTCTGAAAACAATTAACAAGCATCATCCTGTGATTCCCAACAATATTACACCAGTTAGTAGCCCATGTTTTTCAAGCTTCAACTTGCAGGATTCCCCAGCCAGCCACGAGAAACCCTGTAGCAACCTAAGTTAGCTCTTCCTTGCATTCAATGAAGCACTCAGACATACAATACAGACATATAATACAGAATGTATTGCAGTAGTTTGTCTTAAGTATTATAAAGGATAGAGTCATGATGTAAGATACATGTCACCAAATCCAATTACTGTACAATTGTCATTGCCAGCTATGAATATAATGATTGCAGAAGATTAATGGGCCCTCGGATAATAATACTGCTTTTATCAAAAGGACTTGTAATTTTATCCAAAACAGGTAGAATCTCAGAAGCTGTCCATCATGCGTTCATTTTGTTTGGATTTAACATCAGCACATTCTTCTCGTCCAACTCATAATAAACTCCATAATCCTGGAGTTCTCCATGCTTGTCCAGGAAAATGCCTCGTTTTTCCTTAAAAAAAAAGCAGCCGTAGCTGAATTTTGCCATTTCTCCAGCATGAACTGAACCAAAATTTTCCATTTCTCCAGCATTGCTGATTAAAAGCAGGATTGCAGAGTCTTCGCCTAGGACCTAAAACATTACAAAATCCGTGGCAGTTACTTGCTAAGATAATTTTGAAATGTGTACAGAACAGCATGCTAATTGTGCTGTTCAGTTTTGTACGCGGGTTTTATACGTTTGTATGCGAGTGGTGGGGTTTTATAATCCAATCCAGCAGTTCAGGTGATGTCCTCATGACTTTTCATGCTTGCAGCTTAGCAGTGGGCAATAAAAGGCATTTAAAATTTGGTTAAAATCTCCTTTCAGGTTTTCCTAGCGAAGCAGATCAGATCCAATTTGATTAGCAGAAGCCACGAGGTTGCAAAAGGGAAATGCAACTGCCTCCCCCCCCCCCAGACACTCCTTTCCCCCAGGAAGAATCTTAAATAGCAGATTTAAATATTCCTGGGGGGCTGTTTTTTTTTTAATTTTCCATTTTCATAACATANTAGGCGGTTGTGTCTTCTAATATCAATGATTCTAGATAAAAGCATGTTTAAGCAGCGGTAACTAAATGAGAATTATGGTACAGGGATAGTAAAATACATAACTTTTCTTTCTTGACTTAAAATGTACAACCTGATTTGAATGAAGCATACGTAAGGATTGTGGAAGAAACACGCAGAATATATTTGTAACCAATCGATAACGCTTTCAACAAGATGTAACGAAAGATGATTTTTTTTCTTCTTTTTTTTTTTTTTGGTTTAACTAAAACAATAAAAAAAATTCTGAAAAAGAAAATTCAGTACCTAGTTAAGTTGTGTTTGAGACTACATTTGATGCCTAAAACGATTGATGTAATTTCAGAGCTTTTTATTGGCAGGTATTTGAAATGTGACTTCTAACATTCAAAGCAATAATTAAGATTTTGGAAAATTATACTTCATGAGAAAGTTGCTTTGTGAGCTGAAATCTGTAATAATAATATAAAAAAAAATAACTTGGTACAAAGCTGAAGAAATGTCGCACCTCATCTGCACTAGGGGGCACCAAATGCTAAACTCATCAGCTGTATGAGTTGGTTGTTCCTAGTATGTTACATCCTTGGGAATGAATTTCTGAAGTTAAACAAGCATCGTTTTGAAAAAGTGGAAATCGCAAAACAGATTTGGGTTTTTTAGTGATAAGCTACAAACTGATTTGTCATTTTATTATTCGCTGTTTTTCTGATTTTTTTTTTCCAAACCTTGTCTGAGAAGTGAAATAAATATTTTTTTAGATTTTTCTGCAGGAAAAGCTGGAGAAAACACTTCATATTTACTTTAGTGTTTGATATTCTGTAAATCTTCAAAGAATAAAGTATTGGATGTGAAAATTCATGTTACACTTTTTTGTTCCTGATGCCAATGAAAAGCATTTTTCAAACTTCAGCGATTGCTAAAATTTTGTTAGATTCTGTAAATGTAACTACAAAGAAAGCATTCCATGTTTCGGTGAAAAACCATGAGATAAAATTACGGTGGAAACTTTCCTTCGGTATGGTCAAAAGTAATACTGTATATGGGATTTTGCAAAGTTTTTGTATCTACCAAATCCTTTTTTTTAAGTCACTTGATAAGAAAAGGGGTTAAATACATTTTTAAAAAATATATTCTACTTAATGGCACGGTTTGTATTGTTACTGGGAAGTCATAATTAAGGAGGTGAAATATTAGGAAAACATGGTAAGCTTGAATTGTGGACAAAAGCATTCAACAGAGTGCATGCATGAATGATAAAATCTGTTCTAAAAATCTTTTTGCTACTTTCCATAGAATGTACAGTCAATTTTGGGAATTGTTACATAGATCCTTTCAGAAATGCTAAGGGGTTAGAGAAATGCATACTGTGTTCACTTAGGTTCTTATTCCATGTTCTGACTAACATGCATGTGCTTTCTTGTCCCATTCCATGACCAGGAATTCATTTGTGGGGATCCTATTCATACAGCAGAACAGATTTTCTCATGCAAAGACTGTTCTTGGTTATGTCAGCAGTTACTGAATACATGGAGCCATTTATTTAAACAAATCTTAAACTGTCCTTGTAGAGATGGCCATTTATAAGAAATGTTGGTTACTCAGGCTGTAGCATTTTCCTTCCCACTCGCCTTGTTCAAGTACAGATTGCAACTTCTAATAGCAGTTTTTAAAAAAATAGAAGGCAATGTTTAATGTGTGTTTTGAAGTTAATCGTGTGACCCTTAATGTGTGAACAATGGTGACTTACCTTATTTTGAAATAATGCAAAACCAGATTAAACTGGCAACATGTTTGTATTTAAGATTTTTCCTTATGTTACTAAGCAAGCTGTGTATGATAATATTTTGGCAATTCACTCTCCTTCACTAATGTTTCAAATCCCTGTTGAAGTATACTTTGATTAAGCCAACTCAAGGTCACAATAGATTGCAAGCTTCCAAAGTCTAGTTTTGTTAATTAAAAAAAAATGTTTCTACTCACTTCTTTTTCTCTTGTATCAAAGAACCTCCACATTCAGTGAAAAGAATGAAAAACAGTTTCATGTTAAGAGCTGGAGTTCATACTTTCAGAATGAAGAATCATGCATTGTTCGCTTGCAACTTAGTTGGGCCCAATATGGATTTCTAAACAGTCGCCTATTGCCATTTAAACCCTACTCAGTTACCCAACAGAACTTGTGAAGGTTTGAAGTACAGTACAGAATGAGAGTGGACATCTCTGCCCAGTTGACCTGCCCATCCTAATCTTGGCTTCATATTGAGCAAAGCATTTTTCTTTTTGTATTATTATTTTTATTATGCAATTTTCTTCGTTATATATATAAAATTTCCATATTCACAATAGCAGTGTATTGTCTTGGTGCAATCTCTTAAATACACATAATCCTATACAAACAATAATTATAACATTCTCAAAATCTATTCGCCATGGTCTTCGCTTATTGAAACATTTTCCGTTGTTTAAATACTTTGTTCAATTTTGTCTCTTAGTCAATAATATCAATCGTTATAAACGTGTAAACATTACATTTATAATTATCCTCCAAGTCTATTAATCATGTTTGCTTATCCTAATTATTCAATATTCATTTAATTACAATTACTTCATTTTTGTTTACATATCCTCCTTAATTCTAAATTTCTCACCTGCTTCTATTTTTAACCATTAATAAAATAGTTCCCAAGTTAAAAAAGTAATATTTTTCCCATTTCTAGTTTCTGCCTCTATACTAATTCTTAATAGAACAACT